TAACACTGTTCTCCGGAGCTCACCTAGCCTTGTCTGCCTAACTACATGGGGCAAGTCAAGCAACTGATTCAGCCACATCATGAGACCTTCCTTTAACCGACCCTACTTTATACGATCTTGGGCTCCCTCCTTATCCAATGGTTGGGTTGTGAAACAGAAGACAGAGAGGTAGACCATTTTCCTTCGAAGCTGGACTTGTCCTTCGCCCCAATCTTACCAAGCTGCTGCCACAACTTCATATCTCTGACGCTTACGCTTACCCCTCTGTAAATTCCATTAGCGGCATTTTCTTTTCTTTAAGAGTCCTTCTCATTGAAGAGCATTTCTTTTTCTTATTCAATTATAATTCATTGAAAATCTCATTCAACATGACTCTGCTGCATACGAAATTCCCAAGACTATTTCAAGAAAAGTAAAGAAAAAATCAATCCATTAACTGGGTCAGTAGAGGCTGGAAAAGGATCGTACGCATCACCCTATGTAAGAAAAACAAAGGCAACCTCTACTAAGCAATTCCTTCGAAACGCTACTGACTGTCGCGCCGGAGAAAGGTCTTCGCCCGAAAAGGGGTCGGTGAGAGGGACTACCACGAACGGAATGGTTGGTTCGAATGGGCGAACCCAAGAAGACAGGGTGGGGAGCCCCCAATGAGGGAAACCAGAAGCATAGCTACAACTAGAATGGATTGAGGAGAGCAGAGATTAGACTAAGAAAGAAAGGAAGCCTCCGGCCCCCATACGGAATTGGAGAACTGGATTTCCTTTAACAAGCCAATCATAAAAGAGCGAGGGTTTGAGGTAGACCTGAGTCTCGTTATCGCGTTACAGCCTAAGCAAAGAGGCGTCCTCGTCTTACGTCGCCCGGCTACACGAAAGAAGTCAGTGCCTAAGCAGCTTCTCGAATCAAATCCATCTCTATGGCCATTGTAGCTAGCGTGAAAACCAGTTTTGATCCCTCTTGCAGGGTTTGACCCAAAGAAGAGTCAATATGAGGTTTAGCCGCCTTTACGTAGTCCATACAATCGAGAGAAAGCTGTTCCTATCCCAGTCATGTTTCTGAATGTTCTACTTCTCAACCTCTTTCAACAATCTATCTGAAATTCAACTTCAAACAAGCTACCAAGATCGGTTGTTTTTCTTACCTCTCCCTTCCACCAAAATGCTCTGAACTTGACGATCAACCTGACTTACGCTACCAAAAGAAAAGAACCGCTCAAACTACTACACTAGCTCCCTTGTGTCTTTAGCTTGATATCGATTGTAAGGCAAGAGTCCAGGAAGCAAAACCGAAGAGGAAAGACTCAATAGGAAAAATACCACGAAAGATGGCTAGAACAGACCAACAAGGGCACGAGAATTGCCATAGAGGACGAATTACTGGTTCGCGAGAGGGTGGGTGAGTTGCTTAATTCATATGGGCGAAGACACCTACAGTGACTAATGGCGAGATGAGACCTTGAACTGACTTATATCCTTAGGAAGTGAAGGAATTGACAAAGGGGCGCGTTAGCGGCGTAAGAGTCAGTAAACAGATCAGGTGTAGCGATAGAGCGGTTTAGTTTACGATTCCTATTCCATTAAACAAACGGGCTATTGCGCCTAAGTCAATCCCTCATATCGGCCGGCTGTCTTATGACGGGAGACACAACAAGTAGGTGCGAAGCCTTTCCAAGGAGGGGAAAGCTTGCCAAAGCGATTCTCTGTGTTCTACTTCACATAGGGTGCCTGAGCACAAAGGGGGGTAGCGCAATCATTGAAAGTTTTGATATTCTTTTGATCCGTTGTAGCCTTCAAGCCTCATTTTGGCTTGTCTTGATCAAGGTCATTTCTCTTTCGAAGCCCAAATGTTTGCATATTGTTAGCGTTAGACAACCGAATGCTGCCTACACGACGGAGTAGGGGTTCATTGTGTAAGTCCGATTATCCACTTTCCAGATATGATCCATTTCCATTTCAATGTTTCGACGATCATCCCAGAAGTCACGTCTTTGTGAAAATGTTTGGAACACCTTCCTGTAAATCCCATTGGTCCAGCTTTCCAGATATGATTTGCTCGTGTTGTATCTCCTCAGAACTTTCCATCCTGCCCCATATGAGGACTCTGTCTGCCACTCTTGAACTGGACGAATAGGCCCAAGGTGGCCAAAGAGAAAGAGGAAAGCAAGCTTCCCTTGTCCTTCAATCGCAGCCCAGAATATGGAATAGTGAAATCTGTTGCTTGGTTGAGTGAAATCCGCTTCTTTTGCTTGTGTTGATGTCTTTCTTTGGGTTCCTTGACATAGTTATGAGGTTCCTATACAGTCTGGGATCTGCAGAAGTCTTCCAATTCTAGGCGAATCTGCTCACTTCACAATGAGTTTTGGCTGTTTCCACTTTCTTCTCATATATGTGTGAGAGCGTGAGACATCGATATAGCGTATATAACGAAATCGTCTTCTTTGATTCGAAATGGCTCTAAATTTCCTTCGCCCAAAGCTCCTTTTTCAGGCTAAAGTGGAGAAGCAGTTTTTATTTCGTTTCCTACCTTTTCGACTTCATTTTGTGAGATTGATTTTCTTGTTCCGTTCAGTTTCTTCGTTGAAATCTTAAGAAAAGACCCCGCATTGCACTATAGGAGCATGCTGGGTGAAATGCTCTTTGTTTGAAGTTCATTTCTGAAAATGCTCTAGATCAGTCAGATGTTGAAGTTGAATTGATTGACAAGTATTGATTTATATAGATCAAATGATCATCCATGAGCAAAAAGCAAGCTAAACAGGCTCTGTGAACCAACCTTGTAGTAGTCAGATCTCCTAATGACAGGTTCGTTTCCAATCTCAGTTCAACACAACAGACAAGATCGGTGAAAAAGAGCTTCTTCCGTTGTTGTTCCGTGTTCAATCAAGTAAACCTCTATGCATCGTTTGTTTCACTCAAACCTCTGTTGACTCAAACATCTGTTTGCTGGGTCTTTAGGTTGTTCGGCTTTCCCTATTGATCCATCTGCCACCCATGCTCATAGGGATAATAGTCACCGGAACCTTGAGGCAATTGACTCCGTTTACATTGGAAACTTTCTTTGAGTGTCATCCTTATCTGACCCCATATTTGGGTGAGAACCCTTATGCCTCCTATAGATGGTCAACCTGTAATGTAATAGGGTATTCCTCGCCTAGAGTCTGAATCCTGTTCCGTGTGAGTCGCTCCTATCCGTCCTGCTTTTCTTCCGCTATCTGTCAGCTGTCGGCTTCCCTCTTTGGTGTTGGGTGTGCTCTCCTTCTTTGCCCTTCATCTGGTGAACATGTTGAACCGGGGTACCACCAAGGGTAGGTTGAATCCCCGTCTATAGCACTGGTATACGTATCTTAGTTTCTATGGCAACTCTTTCTTTTTCTCTCTTTCATCGTTATCTCCCTGCGTTATCATTATATGGCAACCTTTCTTTTAGTAACCAGCAAAAGCCTTGGATTCATCCTTATATACTAGTTTATAGCTCGAATCTCATTCTCGGTTCCTTTGCTTGAGAGTTCGCATCCCTTGTTCCTGAGTGGAAATCTTAGCATCCGACAATGAAGGTCTAAGCCTAACATGAATCGGGTTTAGCTACAGTAGAGGGTGTTTTTTGGTTTGAGATGTGGATGTTCAAGGTGTTGATGGGGGAAGGAATTCAGAGTTTGAGATTCTCTGTTGAACTGAGATTGGAAACTCACCTGTAATTAGGTAGGCTAACTGAGCGCTCATTCACTTATTCAGAATGAGATCTATATAAGGAAATAAAGAAAGAAATTCTTCGACTCGCATGTGTTAAGCATATTCAAAAGAACTATGACTTGTTGAGAAATTCATCCATTTGTTCAGGAAAGATCTATCAAGTATCTGAACTTTCCTACCCTACTCGAATAAAGGTTTGCTAGCCATCACTTCACTTCAGAGGACTGGACTCTAACAGCCCGAACCCTCCCCGATTGATCCATAGAAGTCCCCCTTGCCTTTGACTCCTCACTCTTTCATCACAAAAAGACCTATTATTCCTGTACTCTCATACGGAGTGGGAAAGCTCACCAAAGGAGGTTGATACGTTTGTTTGTTTTCTTTTGGTACGCGAACAGATAGCCTCGCAATAGTGCCAGAGTCTCGCCTCTGGGGTTGGTCTAAAAGGATAGGAGAGATTACCTGGTGGTGTCAATCTCTCTAAATGGGGTTGCTCTGCTTGCCTCGGTCTCTATCACTCGCTACTGCTTCTTCTTAGGAGATCCCTCCATATGCTTCTACCCTTTCAAAAAGAGGTATGAGGTACAGGCAACTACAGAAATAACCTCTATCCCAATCGAAGGCTCTGTCTAGTCGAATCTCAGGTGGTTCGGCTGAAAGCCTTATGGGCATGAAGGACCGTGACTATCTGAGTAAAGGGGCTGCTCGTTCTTAATTCGGAGATTTTCTTCCTATGTTATGACCCCGTTTCTTCACGCCATAGGGTGGCGCTTTCGGTGAGGTGGCGGAATTTGCTAGTTCTTCCTCCTATTTTGGAGAGGTATAAAACAGGGACCCTGAGGCTATGCTACATGCTCAAACGATTGCTAAACCCGGCGATCCAATACTAAAAATATTGAATATAAAACGGATGCAATTAGGATCATTTGGAGTAGTTCCTATAACAGCTCCTCGGGTAAGAGACAGATACTCCTTTTCTTTTTTCTATGCTTTGCCCAACCAAGTGTAGTTGCCTTTGGACGAGAGTTTCTCAATGAGCTAGGAGCCTTACTCATCCATTCGGACTCGGCTTAATTGATACGCTTGCTTTAACCTTAAAGGCAGTGGGGAATTGCGCAAGAAGGAAAATCAGAAGTTGCTTTGAATCATCAAGACAGGTGCGATCATTAGCCTTTTTAGAACCAACTTGGATAGGAATTTTCGAAGATGCTTGATTACGATATTCTTGGATCGGTACTCATAAACTTGAAAAGCCCCCCCTCTATGCATGAAGTAAAGCCTAGTTTGAGACAAGCTACATGTCCTATCCCGAGAATTGCTTATTGTATTGATCGTATAGCGCCCAAAACAGCAACAACAACATCTGCTTCAAAGAAACACTTTCAAACAAACTGATAGGAACTTGGCAAGACGGAATTCCAAGCAAAGTTGTAAAGTGAAGTGCTCACCGCTTCCCCGATTTGATAAGCCAATTTGATAAGAAAGGGATGAGACTCACTTCCCCTGCCCTTACCACCCAGCTCTATCAGCTATAGAGACCCATCTGCCACTTTCAGTTCTTGGCTGACAGTATTGTAACAGGAGTACCAAAAAAAGAATTCCACTTCTTTATGCCGGCGCTAAGAATGATAGACTCTCTTGTCTAATGGAATGAAGGAGTTCGTATCATTTTGAGAAGAAGAACCATTCCTGACCAACTTATAGGGCAGAAACTACAGCGTATAGGTATGTATGTAGGGAAGCTTTGCTTGTAGGTTTTTCACACTTCACTTGCTCGACCAAAGGAATAGGAATAGAGAGTCAATGCATCTATCTTAGTCTGCTTCTGCGTCTGAAATTCATTCTTTTGCGCCTCAGCCTTCCAGCCTTCTAAGCGAGGAGTCAGCTAGTTCTCTTATCAACGGCAATCTCATAAAGCCGCTCTATCATACAACTAAAACATCGAGGAAGCTGTTTTACCCGAACCCAAATAGTCGACGCTGATCACAGGTCTCGACGAGCCTGATCTTTGTTTTGGAAAAGGAAGAATCCATTTCCGTAATATGATGAGTAGAAGCACTATTCAATTACAGCTTTCACTCCCTGCACTACTACTGTTAACATATCCCTGTGAAATTAAAGGGACTTCCTTACTGACTTATCTAACTAAAGTAATCTTTAATGAAAATAGATAGTCATTGAGGCAAGCAGCCAAGGAACTAGCTCGACGCCGCAAACGTGAGTATCTTGGTACTGACCGGCCATTCTGATAGAGGAGACCTACTCTAAGCCAAGAAAGAAGAAATAGCCTACATAGTATATGCAGCCATTTTGTTGACTAATGCTTACGCGTTTTGTGAATCTTTTGAATATCTAAATCAATATCAAAAGAATTTCTTCTTGAGCGTATGCAATCGGTGAAGAGGTTGAGGCCTTCGTTCGGTACAGGGCATGAAGCCCCCATACATCTTTGTACATTCATGGTCTTTACACCAAATGTTGAAGAAGCCTTCAGGGATGAAGCAACAAGAAGGATGAAGAAAAAAAGCCAAAGACACCCCCCCAAAGAAAGAAAGGAAGGCTCAACAAACTCTCCTGTAAGTGTGAGGCCTCGGTAAGCAAAAAGCTATAAGTCGAAAATCATCTAGGTCCGTTGATGAATCTCTTTCCTGGGTGACTAGGCTGATGCTACTGAACTCGCCGGGGAGTACCGTGTGGAAGGACTTTTCGAGATCGTCAGCGGGTCATCCCCCTTCTTTCGGCCCCCCTTTCGTATTCCGTTCTGTCAACTCCGATGGATTGCTTCTTTGCGTCGGGTAAGGATTTTCCCTTCTGGTTGGCGGGTCGTAACGTAAAGTGGTCTCCAAGTGCTCATGCTGCTCCACCCTCTTTATATTGTAACAAGAGAGAAAGCGGTTCGTATTCAAAGTCAGGACTTGAGATGGCGGAGATGGTATATTATAGACGCTAGGGATGCCCCGTTCATGACGAATTCATTTGTCAACCTCTTGCCAGAAGGTGCGCTAGCAAGATCGAGAACACTCCTTTTTGGTTCAACTCCAAAATACCTTGTTTCATTCTTTTCGGTCACCCTTCCCCTTCCTGTATCGCTTGTTAAGAAAGAGCCCGCCCCTTTCTTCAATTCAATGAGTAGCCGCGCTAGAGTCCGGTCGTTAGCTGACCCTAGGACCTTTCTTTTTCTAAGCGGAATACGAGCCGGGGCGAGCCACACCACAGTGTAAATGAGACAGACGTGAATCAATATGCGTTGAACCAGTCATACATACGGCATATGGGGAAAGGGAAATAGCGTCTGAGATGTGCGCTATAAGACTTCCTACCCCTTAGCATGAACCTCTAGCGACCTAGCTAATTACGGATGCGGATGACCAAAGAAGCAAACCGGCTATTCCTTCAGAAGGCATGGACTCCAGGGCAAACCACTCTTCCTATCTGATTGGTTTACCAAGATCCGGCTTACCTGACTTTGAGGGGGGAGCTTATGCTCGGTGCAATCCATACTCATGAGAGGTCCTATTCCTAACGTGACTCGTCCTTTCACCGTAAGTTCTGACTATTCTATTCACTCCACATTGAATAAAGCAGAAGAGACGGAGGAAAGAGGATTGGGCATTTATTAGGCTTTCTTTGATCCTTCATTTCTCGACTAAGACTTTTTGTCATATCATCAATTCCATCCAATTCGTTTCTCTTTTCTTTTATAAGAGAATCATGGATCCGGGCTCAGAGCGGAAAATTTCATTTGAAAGAGCATCCAATGGTTAGCGTTCGGCAACGAGTGCCTCAGACGCTGTGTGGTCTACTCTACCTCAATTCACCATTTCGAACCCTCCCCGTTATGACTTAGAGCATCCCTCACGTCTTATAAGTGACTTGCGAAAGGAAGGACAAGTTGGTTTGAGGACCCGTTGGTCAAAGGAAAGATGGAAACAGGGGAGTTGGCTGATAAAGATGGACAGTAACGATCGCGTAATATCCATTTTTCGGCCTCGTCATCGAAAGCGTCTTCCAATTGCTCGGAAATTCTCAGCTATATGGGGGGCTTGGATGGTGAGCAAAAACAATTGATCACGAAGTTGGTCAACTTTCGCATGAAAGAAGGTAAAAGAACAAGAGTTCGTGCTATTGTTTATCAAACTTTTCATCGCCCAGCCCGAACTGAACAAGATGTAATCAAACTTATGGTTGACGCCCTAGAGAATATAAAGCCCATATGCGAAGTGGAAAAAGTAGGAATAGCAGGTACTATTTATGATGTCCCCGGGATTGTAGCCAGGGATCGTCAACAAACCTTAGCTATTCGTTGGATCCTTGAAGCAGCTTTCAAACGACGTATAAGCTACAGGATAAGCTTAGAGAAATGTTCATTTGCTGAGATACTGGATGCTTACCGAAAGAGGGGAATTGCACGTAAGAAAAGGGAGAATCTTCATGTACTGGCTTCCAAAAATCGAAGTTTCGCGCATTTCAGATGGTGGTAAAGTGAGACCACATAAAGAGCTCTTCCTCATTCAGTCAAATTATTCAGTAAGATATGGTTCCTTTTTGTTTGAATCTTCATATAGAAAGCCGGCTTCCTCATACTTCTCCCTTCATTCATTGAGTTGGAGGAATCCATAGGAGGCCCGCCCGTTATGCATTGCATGAAAGAGCCTTTCTTTCTACGACTTCTCTTTTGCCCCAGGTCGAATGAGAAAGGGAGATCAACCCAAAAATAGGCCATGAATGAAGAAGTAGCGGGCCTTTCATCCTCTTTCTAGTGACTCTCGGGGAGAGCTGATCTAATAAATGCACTTCAAAGGGAGGGAAGCTAGGTTTCCCATTTCTTATTCTGAGAAGGATCGTTTGTTTCTGTATACTTGCGTCTTAGGACTACCCTTTGTAATGACCCCGTTGAGCTACCTTTTTCTTTTCTTGCCGGGTCTATTTCATTTTCCAAAAGAAAACTAGAACCTGATTTCCTAATTAGCTTGGGATCTTATTTGATTACTAGGTGGATGTCAGGTCCAACCAAAGCACTGCTTATTGAATAACTTCACTTCAGCACCACCCTATGAGCAGCGAAGTCTGTT